TTGGGGTGCCCAGGGCTGTTTGGGGTGGTTTTTTGGGGTGGCCGGGGCTGTTTTTGGGGTGCCCAGGGCTGGTTTTGGGGTGCCCAGGGCTGTTTTTGGGGTGGTTTTGGGGTGCCCAGGGCTGTTTTTGGGGTGGTTTTGGGGTGCCCAGGGCTGTTTTTGGGGTGCCCAGGGCTGTTTGGGGTGTTTTTTTGGGGTGGCCGGGGCTGTTTCTGGGGTGGTTTTTGGGGTGCCCAGGGCTGGTTTTGGGGTGACCAGGGCTGGTTTTGGGATTTTTTGGGGCGACCAGGGCTGTTTTTGGGGTGGTTTTTTTGGGGTGCCCCGGGGCTGGTTTTGGGGTGGTTTTTGGGGTGACCAGGGCTGGTTTTGGGGTATTTTTGGGGTGTTTTTTTGGGGTGACTGAGGTGTTTTTTGGGGTGCCAGGTGAACGGGCTGGACACGGTGAGGGTGCCCATGGATGTGGTGCCCCGGGGCTGTTTTTGGGGTGGTTTTTTTGGGGTGCCCCGGGGCTGTTTTGGGGATTTTTTGGGTGACCAGTGGTGTTTTTTGGGGTGCCAGGTGAACGGGCTGGACACGGTGAGGGTGCCCATGGATTTGGTGCCCCGGGGCTGTTTTTGGGGTGGTTTTTTGGGGTGACTGAGGTGTTTTTTGGGGTGCCAGGTGAACGGGCTGGACACGGTGAGGGTGCCCATGGATGTGGTGCAGTTCATGCGCCCCAAAACCAAACGGTTCCGGCACTGGCAGGAGCAGCAGCGGCAGCAGCTGGAGAGCAGCCGGGAGCGGCTCCTCTGACCCCCCCCCCGAGGGCTTTGGGGTCCCCCCCCCGAGGGCTTTGGGGTCCCCAGAATGGATTTGGGGTCCCCAGAATGGATTTGAGCCCCCCTGGAAAGATTTGGGGTCGTTTTCCCGCCCCCCCCTCTCTTTGGGATCCCCCTCTCACCTGTGGGGAGCTCCCAGACATCGCTCAGTTCCCAGAGCAGCACCTCAGGAATTTTGGGTTGTCCTGAGCCCCCCCCCCCAAATTCCCCTGAGCCCCACTCTGGTCCAGGGGGGTCCCTGGGGTGGGTTTGGGGTCCCTGGGGTGGATTTGGGGTCGCTGAGGTGGGTTTGGGGTCCCTGGGGTGGGTTTGGGGTTGTTCTCCCCCTCCTCACCTCTGGGGAACTCCAGGACAGCTCTGGGTACCCAGAGCAGGATTTTGGGGTTCTCCTGAGCCCCACTCTGCTCCAGGGGGGTCCCTGGGGTGGGTTTGGGGTCCCTGGGGTGGGTTTGGGGTCCCCAGGATTGATTTTTGGGGCTGTCTCCCCCATTTAGGATCCTCCTCACCCGTGGGGAGCTCCAGTTCCAGCAGCTCCCTGGAAAAGGGGGTTCAGTGGAATTTTGGGGTGGGGGGGGGTCTCAGAGGTTTCTGGGGGGCCGTGGGATTCCTGTGAGACCCCCGGGACCCTCCCTTGAACCCCCAAATCCCGGGGGCATCCCCAGAATGGGTTTGGGGTCCCCAGGATGGATTTTGGGGGGGACCCGCCCCCCTCACCTGTGGGGAACTCCAGGATCCAGAAAAGGGGGATCAGGATTTGGGGGAGTCCCAGGATTTGGGGGGGGGGGATTGCAGGATTTTTAGGGATTCTCAAAGAGTTTTGGGAGCTTCAGGATTTTGGGAAGAAATCCCACGGGAGTTTTCCCACGGTGGAAAAAAAAAATGGAATTTTTAGGACACAAATTCGGGTGTTTGGAGTGAATTATTGGGGGAGGGGGTGGCACCCACCTGAGGGTCACCGTGGGTGTCCCCAAAGCCACCCCTCCGTGTCCCCCCAGGTGTGACCCCTCGGGGTTGGGGGGGACTCTGGCAGTGCCACCTCGTTGCCATGACAACTTGGGGACACGGGTGGGGACACCAGGACATGAAAGGAGGTGACACGGAGCGGGGGGGGGG